TAACCATTGGCAACAAGATATAAACCTCAACGAGAGAAACAAAAACTGCAGCCATCATCATAAAGACTTGTCCAGCATCAACATTGGGAATACCCCATTGCAATGGGTAAGGAAATCTTATCCTGCATTTCGATAACTGACTTCTTCAGAGTTGAAGCAGAAAGAAAAAGAATCTATCTAGCATTAAAAGTATAAAATCAGAAATTCTTTGACTTCCAGGCATTTATCACTTTATTTAAGTGTGTACACACCATGAAGCTCCACTAACAAGCCCAGAGCGATCAACTCGGCAACTGAACTGAGTCTGTAGGGGTCTGTTCTTGTATGCACCTGCTACTGTGAGAAGGGCTGCAAATGCCCACACTATTCCAACTGATAACAGGACAGCAAATCGCTCAAATATGGGTAGCTTTAATTTCCACATATGAGGAATGAACTGCATAAACATTCATTAAGCACATATCAGAAGACCAGAAACAAACAAAAAACAAAACTAATGTCACCACAAATGATCTCCATATCCATTCCTCTAATGCTTAATCTTTAACACATGCATCTCAATACTGAACGCAATAACTGTAAAGAATAACGCTTACTTGAGACAACAATATGAGTAGAACTAACTCCGGAAGTCCAATTTCAACACATTCTCCCAGCTGCCATCAAGCAAGAAAAAAGAAGATTGAGCACATATCAAAAGTACCCTTGTGACTTGTGGTCTCAAAACCTGTAGAATGTTACTAAGAGAAAAATGAGAAATTTAAAGATTAAATAATTTTATAAGTATGGAAAGGTGTCATCTTTCGTCTGAAACATGCAACTAAGGAAGTATAGTAAGCATCAGCCAAACTTCTTACAAGTGGAAAACCTTGCTCATATAGCCCAATGCCAACAAGCAACACCAGTGGAGCCTTAGAAAGCGGACACAAGAACCTACATTGTCAAACAACTGGAATCAAACATTCTCTTCTACGCGGATGCAATAACTACTAATATAATCCTTCAAAATGAGCCACGACCTTGTAACAATTCTCCAAACTCCAAGAAAACCAGCTAATGCTGGAATAACTGATGCAATCATCAGAGCCCCCTGCATACTTCTCATCGATTGTTTAAACCTCTGAAGAAAATGATCAAAAGTATTAAGAAAAATCACTAATGCTGTTATAATCAGAAAACATTTTACTTGTGGAGGCCTAGAGTAATGCACAAAAGCACAAAAAATGAAGCAAGAAGTTCGATTACTCCAACCTCACGAGGATCAAGGTATGCATTGTATCTATTGGATAATGCAATAAAAACGGCTGGAATTATGAATCTGAATGATCCACCTATCACCACTGGAAGCCGAGTTCCAAACCAAGATTGCAATAGAGTATTCACCCCGGCAACAAAGAGCAAAGTTTGTATCACTTGAGCTTTCTCCACCTGGAAGATAAAAACTGTTGTAAGTATACTATAGCCCCGATTTTTTTAAGAGTCAAATAGAATAGGCTGTAGTACACATTCATACGATTGATAGCAAAGATACAACAACAACAACTGCTACTACTACTTCATAAAAAATAGAAAAGTACTTACGTTTCCACCGCCCATTTGAGGGACAATGATGGTAGGGATGATGACAGAAGTGCCAAGCATTACTAGATAGTGTTGAAAACCCAATATAACAGCCTCAGCTGCATAATTTAAAGTAGAAAATCAAAACTTATCTTCCATTTTCAGGACACAGACAATAGTACATCATATAAGAGTATTCTGTTAATTTTGTAATTTAAACTTTGGGATCAAACAGAGTAGGAACTCACATGCTTGATGAAGTAAGGATTGAGAATAAAAGAAGATCTCAACTGAAGATCTCATTGCTCTTGGTGATGACTAAGCCAATTACAAATTTAGCAATCATAAACTCAGAATTGAGTTGATTTCTCATATGGCCACTCAACTGATAGTTATTATCCGAGAAAGTCATTCAAACTCTTGATTCCCATTTTATTCAACAAAGAAAGTGACTTGATTAAAAATTTTGAAAAATACTTCGTTGTAGAATCGTAGGTAAATCAAGTTCTACAAGTGACATTCACATTGATTGTATCCTTCAAGACTCTAACACACCCCCTCACATAGCCTCTCATTAAAATTTGGCTAGATTATACATAAATATAAATTCTTTTAAGATGATACATTTTTTTGCTCATGTATCGAAAATATCTTATTTTCTATACTGAACACACCCTAACTTAATAATCAAATTTAATTAGTTTTGAAAACATACCCCAAGAAGGATTGCTGTTAATACAATAATCAACTCCTGGAAGTTGATCTTTCACTGGATGAGGCACCAATTCATCTTTCGCCTGTACTGTCATCTCTCTACCTCTCTTATAATTAATATGTCTCTTACTAAGCTCTTAATTATATTTATTTTTCACATACATATATATACATGCAATAAGCAAAAGAGTAAAGAAATGTATTTTACTAATACTGACTACAAATTTATTGACTTTAGGAGAAATCGTAGAAATCGAAGCAAAAAGAACAGATTTATAATTTGCATGGGAAGTAGAAAAAAAGATAGATATGGTTGGTTAGTGATCGTTGAGCCTAAAAGCCAACTACTATGTTTTAATTAGAAATTGATGTAGACCTTCTATCTATTTATTCATATAATAATATGAAAAAGTGAGCTAGCTACTCTAAGAAATTGTGTCAAGGGTTAGAACATGAGCCTAACTAACACTCCACCCTACATAAATGGATTTTACTTGAGATATAATTTTACCATATCATATGGTACAACATGTAACTTTTTTTGTGTTATTTCAAAATATAAATATATCCTTTTAGGTGTGTAAGAAAATTATTTATACAAAAAAAAATGTAATCTACTTCAGAATGACCTCATTTTTTTTTAGTTTGTTTAATAAAGAATGATTCCTTTTTTTTTTGGACAAAATTTTAACTTTAACTTTTCACGTGGAATATATAAGATCATAAAATTAAAAGACATTTTAATACATTTCTCATAACTTTAATTTAGAACCACAATATCAAAAAATCTTCTTTCTTTTCTTAAATTCCGTTCCAAGTCAAATCAGACTATTCTTTTTGAAACGGATGGAGTAATAGTTTTGTATGTATAGTTGCTAAAAAAAATTAGGTGTTTAAATCTTTACAATGATTTTCTAAAGAATAAAAAGGATAATTTAGTAATCTAACCACTACTAGGAGTAATTTGTTTTCACACGAAGAAAAAAAAACATCTATAATTTTCTCTATCTATTCAACAAAATAACCATGGAGAAATACATGAAAAGATGATGAACAAGTAAAATCAAGCGAATGGTTGTGCATTCTATTTATCTCAAATCTCAAATGAAAGAAATCATATCTATCTTATAATATAATATAATTCCAAGAACATATATATAATTAATCATGAGTTATTATAATCAACCTCCTCCCGTTGGTGTACCTCCCCCTCAAGGTAACAAAAATATTTAATTTGTTTCATTTGTTTTTCTATGAGTTTATTAGATCTTACGCGATATGAATTTGATTTATATTTTACGATTTGTTGAAATAATTAATTAGGATATCCACCAAAGGATGCATATGGGTACCCTCCTCCTCCTCCAGGTTATCCTCCACAAGGCTATCCTTCTCCGCCAGGTTACCCTTCTCCACACGGCTACCCTCCTCCACCATACGGTGCTCCTCAATACGCCGCTCCGCCACCGCCTCAGAAAAATTCAGCCACCTCCGGTGTCATGACCGGCTGGTATGACCTCATCTCTGAAAATTAATTTTTACGTGCATATGCATGGGCGAATTTGTAAATTCAACTCTAGTTTTTTGACGTATAATTTTCTGACGAATACTGATATCATGATTTGAGTTGTTGAATATGAACATTTACCGTATTAGTATTCTCTAGCACATTTCTATTATAGAGAAAATTAAACTAATAATAATCATTAATCTTATGCTTTGTTAATTAATGTTTTTTTGCAGTTTGGCTGCGGTTTGCTGTTGCTGCCTTTTAGATGCATGCTTTTAATTAATGACAAAATAAGATCTTGTAAAGGAAAATGGCATCCAGTAATGATCTTCTTACAAATCAAAGGACCTACCTTTTTCCTTTTTGTTATGTACTCTCGATCTTTATAAACATTATTTATATATAGTTCAAATGTGTATCTATTCACATTTTAAGGGATCCTATTTACACTTATTAGTAGATATACGAGTTTGCTTTTTATATACTGAATATTGATAGTGGAAATTAATGATGATAATTGAGTAACACTTTTCTATCAAAACATATTTTTTAAAAAACAACTTCTCTAAAATTCATATAATCATTAAGGACTCGAATCATTCTAAAATTCATATAATCATTAAGAACTCAAATCATGATGACATTTTATTCATAATAAATTAAATAATGTCTTCATCTATAGTAAAACTTTAATATCAATTGCAAATAAAAATTACCTTGCAGCTTATATTTTTAAAACTCATAATTCTCATTTATTTTTAACTAAAAGAGAAAAAGTAAAAATGAAAGTACTTAGTAATGAAGAATTTACACAAAAAAAACTAACAAAGTAGAATAAGTATTTTTATTTAGCTAAGAAATTAAAGTAAATTTAAAATTCTTTTGAGAGATTAAAATTGCGCGAGATAAAGTGAATATATTAGTAGATTTTGAATTTAATAACTATCATAAAACTTATTATTTTAGTTACTTATTGAGTTCAACTATTTAAAGCGGTGATCTAATTCCAAAATAGTCTCAATATAATACTATGATTTTTACATAAAAAGGACAAAAAGTAGATACTTTAATTAATTTATTGGCAAAATGCGCTTCATTGAATATCACAGGGATCAAATCCAAATTTATGCATGATTGAGGGATCAAAATGTTACTACCTTTATTTTTTAAAAAAAATTATTTTAAAGAAGAAAATGCATTCTGTTGTAGAAATTCTGACGGAAAATATATAAAATGGAATATTCAAATTCTTAAGCTTGATCGTTCTTTCTGCGGATCATAATTGGTAATTCTCGATCTCCTTCTCTTCTCCCATTCCCTCTCTTTCGATCAGTTTTTCTAATTGAATTGTAATTTTCTTCTCGCAATCCTAATTTATTTGACAAAACTAGGGTTTTTTATTTGTGTTGTGAAAAACTGAAAATCTATTATGTAAATGTATCATCTCGTTGATTTATTGGCTAAAATTAAAGTTCCGATCTTTGATTTTCCATAATTCAGCTAAAACTTGATGTATTTTTTGAAAATTTGTCCTCTTCTATGTGACTGTGTTTGTGATTTTCCATAATTTAGCGTAAAGGTGATGTTTTCATGAATACTAGTGTTATTGCATCGTTTGATTTCGCTATAGTACCTGGTTTGTTTGACGTAATTCATGAACTAGATTTTTGTTGAGATTTGTTTGAATTTATTTTTGTGATTAAGATTTTAGCTCAAATTTCTCTATCGAAATGCTTCTAATATTTTATAGGCATTTGTTTGCCTATATATTTAAAAGTTATCCTAGGAATTGTTAAGCCTATACAAAAGGAATTAGGTTGCGGTATCCAGAGCAATGCACAAACAGAAGATGGAATATTTTTGTTGACAAAGTACTTGGAGGACTTTCAGAAGACATGATTATTGTTCCTTGAATTATATTTCTGAATTCTGGAATTTTAATTATATATTAACCCCTTAAACTATAGCTGATGCCTGTTGGGAGTGGTGATGACTCTTGAACTATAGCTCTGTGCATGAGCGAGTATGGTGTATATGAGCACCAATTACATATTGCATTGAAGGCAGTTTCAATATTTTGTATTATTCGATGTCGTTTGAATGTATAGCCAAGTGTTGATTATGTTGGGTTATGTTGCTTGTCCAGATACAAAATTCTAATTCTACATCTCAGTTTATGATCTTCTGCTTGAGTTTTTTTGACACATATTTACGGTTTTCCGATTAGGTTGTTCGAAGGATAACTTTTTAATACTTGGATGGGTGCACCTAAACAGAGGTGGACTCCAGACGAAGAAGCTGCTCTTAAAGCTGGGGTCCGTAAGCATGGACCAGGCAAATGGCGGACGATCCTCAAGGACCCAGTGTTTAGCGGAGTGTTGTACTCGCGTTCAAATGTAGATCTAAAGGTAGAATTTCCCTTTTTCCCATTTCTCTTAGGATAAATTTCTCTTTTGTTGAGAGGAAGCTTTGGTGTCATTCAAATTGATGAAGGTCACAATAACTTTTTTTTTCCTCTTAGCTATGTATTTATGCATGATATGTTAATTTGTCTTTGTTGTTCAGGACAAGTGGAGGAACATGAGTGTGATGGCCAACGGTTGTGGTTCTAGAGAGAAAGCAAGGTTGGCTCTCAAAAGAATGAATCAAGCCCGTAAACAGGATGAGAGGTCTTTATCTGTCTCCACTGAGGCTATAAGTGACGAGGAAATGACTGAAGCAAGGCTAGCTACTACTTCTAGTGATTCTCTACAGATGCGTGGGTCAAAAAGATCTATCATAAGGTTAAACCTTGCTCATTACTTTCTACAACATGACTCAAGTTGTAGCCTTGTACATTTGCTTGCGCTCATGGATTTAGTTAAATGATGGCTTCTGCATGATCTCATACTTCGATAGTTCTAATTATTTTCACATTCTACACATGTTCTTTCCAAGTGATCATTCTTGTTTGATTTTTAGCATTCTGATGATGGTAGATGGATAAAAGTTGTCCTACCCTTATCATAAGTTTGTTATGTTCCAGTTTTTGGTCTTACTTTTTGCTGGAAGGAAGACTATCTCTAAGTGTTGCTGCTTTACTACTATTATAGATTGGATAATCTTATAATGGAGGCTATAAGCAACTTGAAGGAGCCGGGTGGTTCCAACAAGACTACTATAGCAACATACATAGAGGTACTCATCTTCTTGTTGAGCTTAATGTCCGAAAAATAAAACAATTTAGAGCAGTACTGCTTAGTTAAATTGCCAATATTCTTTCTTAGGGCCTCTAACACATTTTGGAATTTTGAAGTCTTGCTTGTTGTGCCATCAATAACATTCTGAATCGTGTTTGCTCTTGGTGCTTCTTGCTTATTCAAGTATGAGCTCTTCTGGAACTCATTTATTATGGTTTTTAGTTCTTTCCTTGTACAGTTGTTTATGCTTTAATGTGTGACGGGACACAAGCTTTTAAGCATTTGGTGTTCACAACAGTAGATCAACTGCATAAGATTGTAGGAATCTAATTAGCTTCCTTTCAGTATAAACTGAATGCTACCTTCTATGATTGTAATATTAATATGATGGTGCTTTATTGACTATTTTTTCCTCTGTGCTTGATCTTAGTTCTCTATATTAAGATATGGTTTCGAAAGTAAGGTGCCATGTGATAAAACTTTAGATAATGCATGAGGTCAAGATTCATCGAATTTGCATTCCTGGCTAAGTTATAAATTATGGCTACATATATCAGTCTATTATACTCAATACTTTTATATCTTGTAGGATCAATATTGGGCACCTACAAACTTTAAAAGGCTACTTTCAGCGAAACTGAAGTATTTAACTGCAACTAGGAGACTTGTCAAGGTGATATTCAGTTTTGGGATTCATACTTCATGTGTTGCTTATCTTGCCCTTAGCTTTGAGTGTGAAGCCAATATGAACTGGCAGATCCAAATTCATGAATGATGGCCAGTAGTTAGATTCATGCTGATTATGATATTGAGGAGTCTTTTTCTTCTGCAGATGAAAAAGAATATTATGAATGATGGTCAGTAGTTAGATTTTATGCTGATTATCATGTGAAGGATGCCGTTTTCTTTTGCAGATGAAGCGAAAGTATATAATAGCACCAACACTGGTATTATCTGACAGAAGAAGAATTCCTTCCGTTCCTCTCTTGGAAAGCAGCCAGAGGATCTCCTCCCGGGTTGATCCGGATGATATAAACACACTTACTAAGGCTCAAGTAGATTTTGAGTTAACTAAGATGAGGAGTATGACACCTCAAGAGGCAGCAGTAGCTGCTGCACGAGCTGTTGCAGAAGCAGAAGTAGCCATAGCAGAAGCTGAGGATGCTGCCAGAGAGGCTGATGCTGCTGAAGCTGATGCCGAAGCTGCACAAGCCTTTGCAGAAGCTGCAATGAAAGCACTAGAAGGGAGAAGCATCCCAAGGATGGTAAGATATTTGTACAATATTGGATCAGTTACTTGGTTTTTCTTGATTGCATCTTACATTCCTTCAGTCCCCTTATCTTTTCTTTCTTTTCCTTGTAAGTGAGATAATTTTCCTTTTATCCTCATTCCTCGGGTGTTTTTTAGTCAATGTATTGGACTCGAGATCCCTCAATGAACTTGTGTTACCTTTCATGTTTGTGGTTTCCCTTCAGCTTTGCTTAGATGATATTTCTCTAAGTTTTGATAGATGTCGCTACTGAATTCTATCTATTAGAACATTTAGTTTGATCGATTTATGGTGTAGTTTTATTGAATAAAGAGCTGGAATGACTTAATCACGTATCAGTTGATGGTTTAAAGTTCTCTGATTTCAACAATAAACAGACTCACAAGCATCTATGTGTATGTTTATGTCATTCCTCTTCAATACATGTTCTTGTGAATGTAAATTTGATATCATGAGGTTTTAGTATTACCTATCTAGTTGTATTTCTTTCCATTGTTAGGAAGGTAGATTTGCAGTTTGTCGATGTGCAGTAAATGTTATATTCTTCCTAATATGTTAAGTGAACGCTTTGTGTCACTAATTACTCCCTATTCCTTTTCTTACTGCTTCTTTCTCTGTGAATGTGCAGATGATCCATGCTTGATGGGATCTTCCAGAGTTGTGGCTTGATACTATAGCTTTGATGGATTTTTTCCATTTTGTTATTTTTCAAACCTTTAGCCAGCTACTTGCTGGCTTGTAAATTTGGTAAATAGTTGTGGAAATGTATACACTGTTTGTGATAGTAAAGCCTTTCCGGTAAATAGCATAAAAGATCATGGGCACCCTCAAGAAAAACTATAGAGTTTCAGACTTGTGAACTGTGCTCGTAGAAGGAAATAAGGCTGAATTCTACTTGTTGTATTTCTAGTCCAAGATCCTTAACAAGATTTGAACTAATGAAACAGATTATAATATGCAGGAAAATGTTTTCGGTTTACCACAAAAATAAGTAGTTTCTTACTTCTATTTTTTTTTTGTGTATTTGATACGTAAGTAAAACATGTTATTATATAATCTAAACAAATATTATTCGAGGCGGAAATGAAGGATTAAGATGAGGCGTGTTAGAAGTCGAGATGATACCATCAATGTTACTTGTGGAACTTGGGTTGCCTCCTTTCAAGAAGTCATTTTTTTTTCTCATTTTAAAGCTAATTTATTTGCCTAGAAAAAATAATTTTCAAAAAGTTTTGGTCTATTATTCTGATCTTTAATTAATTGGTGTCCCAAAGAAGATAATGTTTTTTTTTCTATAAGCCAGTGTTTAGTCTAGCTTATACATAATTTAATTATTATATTGGATATTTATTATGGAATGGGCTTTTACGAAAAAATTATAAAAGGAAAATGATTTATTAGTTGTCTAGGTAAGAGGGTAAACAAAATCTACATCAGAAGTATATTTTTTAATCCTAATGGAAGGATAAGCATACATAATCCTTCAACTAGAATTTTGATCTGCTTTAGGAGATGTAGGGTGTCCTTGATATAATAAAAAGTATTCTTTTAGAAAATAACTGATTTCTTTAATATAATAAATAAATAATATATATATATTTTTGACAAATACTATTACGATGATGAATTAAGTGTAAATAGCAATGTCAATTGGAGTTAGATTATAAAAATATTAATTCTTCTTAATTTCTGAATACATAACATATAAAATACAAATGAATTAATCAAAATAAAAATACTATTTAATAACATAAATACAAAAATTGAAGCAAAAAAAGAATAAATCAAACGTATTATATAAGAGAAAACTATTCAACACTTTCGTCCAAGCTATAAGTAAATGACAAATTATTTCCAAATAACGCCAGCACGAATTTTGTTGTCTCCAAATTATCAAATTTTAATATTTTTTTTTAAACGCGCTGATAATATCTAAATTGGAAAGACATAAAAATAACATTATATTTTAAAGAAGCAATCAAAAGTTTATATATACCGACTACCGTCTCCGGCAAGAAAAGAGGGAAAAAAAATTAAGAATCAGTTGTTGGGTTTCTAGGGTTCTCATTCGAATTGGAGCCTTCAAGGTTACTTTCTTGACCCTTTGATTTAATCTTTCCTCTAATTTATCAAAATCTCGGTTTCTTAATTCTTTGTCCATTTCGATATAGGATGAACTATTTGTTTATCACAACTTTCCGACGTAATTGTAGTAGGAGAATGAATTATGATTCATACGTTCTTGTGGAAATCAAGATTTTCCGTTTTTTTTTCAGCCATGGATGGAAATTTGAACGATAATGCATCTTTGCGTGCTCGGATCAAAGAGTTGGAACGCGGTATGCTTACATGTTATGGTTTTTGTAATTCTTGAATTTGTATGTGTGTTATGGCCAGATTGGACTAACACAGTGTGGAATGTTCTTTCTTGATGAATATATAAAATTTCATTACTAAATACCAACTCTATAAGTTGAGAAAAGAGTAGAAGTTGTGTTCTTGATTCGTCTGTCATTCTTGTCCAACTATCTATACAGCAAAGTAGTTTCTCCTGACAATGAAGATCGAATATAGGTTTAAAGGTGAATCATGCATGGGGATACTAGTTGTCTATGCGATTAGTAAGGACATTTTTTCCCTATGGTTTTCTTAATGACATGAGGGATTCGTCAAATCTTTGAATGTAATCAGTTTAGATAAGGTGAATAGGTCCTCATAGGCATGAAGCAACTGGCTGTTGTGGATGTACTATATTATTAGTATGACTCAGACACTTCAGATAAGCCTGAACAGTTCAAGATTCAATAGGTTACCGACTTCTGTTGAGTAATTGAGTGACCAAAAGAAGGGTTAAATTCATCCCCTCCTCGAAAATAGAGAGGATTTAGAATTCCGCTAACAAGTTCTCAACAGACATTAATGTGATTGCTACTTTTGATTACACGATACGAGTTTAACATTTTTATTGTTGAGCTGGTTTGGTGGACTCCAGAATGGTTATGTAGTGAAGAATTAATTAAATATGATGTTATCTACTCGCACTTCTTCATTCATGCTAATTTCTTTCGCGTTGTTATCCAAGTATGTTTTAAATGTGTTCTGAACCTTCCTCTTTTCTTTGCAGTGGTGTAGTCTGTAACTGATTAGTAAGTGAGAAAATTGTGTGCAATCTAATGTATTGTGGTTTCTTGTTTAGAGCGTGATGAATTGCATAAAGATATTGAACAGCTATGCATGCAACAAAGTGGACCTAGCTATATTGGGCTGCCTACTCATGTGCCTCTTCATAGGTTCAACTTTCTTATTCTTTTTTTTTTGGGAAGTTGGGGGGAAGCTAGTCATTTGTTTGTTTAGGTTGTTTTCCTTGTTTATGTTCTCTCTCTTATTCTTGTGTGGAATTGAAGAAGGGCATTTTGTCATGACATTTAAAAATGGATTTTTTCTAACCAATTAGGATAGCTGGGTTGGAGCAGGAGACTGAAAACTTGAAAAAGAAACTAGCTGCTTGCACAAGAGAAAATCAGAATCTTCAAGAAGAGCTTTCAGAAGCTTATCACATCAAAGTAAGGTTTACAACTACTCTTTTATGTCATTGCAGAACCTCTATGCTATTGATCTTACAGATGCACTTTTTTCTCTTCTTCACTTTGTTAGGGTCAACTGGCTAGTCTACACAGTGCAGAAGTTTCCAAGGTCTTCTCTTTGCTCTTCTCCCTACCCTATACCCCGGAAAGGAGAGAGAAAGCATAAACATTAGGGGGTCTGGAGGTGCATCATGTGCTTGTTAATATATTGAGTGTGTTACTATTGAAGCTATTTTGACTGTTAAAATGTTCCTGTTTGGCGGTTGTGACTCAAATTTCATTATAATTCTGGTTCTTGGAATGCTAAGAGCTTGCAACTCAGATGTCTTAGACATTCATTTTAGTTGGATCTAGATCAATTAAATATCAGGAAGTGCGTCATAGTCCAGTATATTATAACTTACTCCGTTTTCTATTTTACTCCAGAATATTGAAGCAGAAAAGCAGCTCAAGTTTTTTCAAGGCTGTGTTGCTGCTGCATTTTCTGAGCGGGACCATGCTGTAATGGAGGTTGTCAAGATTTCTTTTAATTCCATCCTGAACCCCCCCCCCCCCCTTGCTGCACTCAAAAAATAAAAATAAAAAAGGGGGAATTGGAAGGGAGAGAAAAGACGGTGTGGTCAACACCCTTTACATATCTATTACTGCCTATCACTGTTGAAGAATCTTGATTTAAATGTTCTGGGAAAACCAGATTTTCTCAATTGATGCATAGACTGGTGTTTAATTTCAACTACTGTTTAAAATTCACTATTAAAGAACTTGTGAGCATGAGATTACATGTTCAGTTCATCCTTCACATAACTAATTCTTGGAGGCTTTTTTAAACATTCTCTATAAATGTTGCAGGCTGAAAAGGCTAAGGAAAAGGAGGAGCTTATTTCAAGAGGATTTCATGAACTTCAGCAGAGGTTTGATTGAATTTTTACATGTTAACAGGCATTAGATTTTGTCTTGCTCCTACTTCTAATGACATATTTCTCCTGTGATAAATTAAGTATTACAATCATAAGCACCAAAGTCGCACTTGAAAATATCTATTCTAAGCCCTAGTGTCCCATAAAATATGTACTTCTAATGTTTCTCTTCTAAATAACTTCCATGCAGTCAAATAGTTTACCTCTCATTTCACTCCAGGGAACCGCCGATTGCATTAGGGGTCTTATCTTCAGAAAACCTTTTTGGTTATAATTAATAGGCAAGCTTCGTCACCTTACCTTTTATAACAGCCAAAGGAAAGCACAAGAAGGCTCATAATAGTTGTGATAGCACAAAGTAACATTCTAAGGTTTTACCACATAAGTCCATATTGGCTGTGCCGCTGCAGATTAGATTCGACAAAGTATAATTAAAAAAAATGGATGCTGGTGTTTTTCACCTTCTACTGTAGTAGAGAAGCAATGGATTTTAGAACAGTGGAGTTAGCTTTTAATTCAGTGATTTAATTTAGTGGTGAGTAGGCTTTGGGTGTTCAAGTGGTGTATTCCCTAATTTCATGATTTTGGAACTCTTGCTCTTCTTTGATTCTTGCATTTGCCCACTCCTTCATGGGCAATTGAGTGCAATGGAAGTAACTTCTACAATGATCTGAATAGTCAATATTTTTAAGAAGCAACTTCATTTGAGTTGGAAATTTTCATGATATGTTGATATCTTTATCCATAAAAATTGTGATTTGGTGTTTAAGCTATTTAGAATTCTAAACTCTGCAGAACCTGACTAAAAGAGGTGAATAGCCTTCATATTTATGAAGATGGATATGTTCAACCCATAGTATCCACATAATTCCACTGCAGTATACAAACCATCTAAAAACAATTCTTGGAATATATGCAGTGTTACATAATATTGCCCTTATGTTCCATCTCTGATGCAGGATTGAAGAGCTGCACTGTGAATTACTTGAAGAGAAAATATTGACGGCTACTTTGCAGAGTGAGATGGACGGGGAAGAGAGGTTGGATGAGGCTTTCAAGGAGGTACTTAGTTCTGATGCCCTCCCTGTGAATCCATATTCATAATTGTTACAGAGCTAAAATATATAACAAAATTCTTTCATCTATACATGTGTAACATTCCATTTATGCAATTTTTGGATCAAGGAAGCTCTCAAAGAAATAAGAAAGAAACTATGTATTATATTCCTTCATTACTGATAAATATCCACCCTTGAAGATGTTGTTTTGTACAACAGGTTGTTCACAAGTTCTATGAGATCAGACAGCAGTCACTGGAGGATATTGAAGAAGATGTGTCCTGGGAAGACAAATGTGGGTGCCTCCTGCATGATTTGTCTGAAATGTGGACTTTCAGCAATCCTGAGGAAACATCCACCTTGAAGTACATTGTGAGTTCCAGAAAGTTAGCAATCTTAAAACTTGG